AATGCTGTAACGGATATTTATTATAACGGATGGAATTTCCCAGCCCGATCATTCCGTTATAACGAGGGTAGAGTGTATTCGCCATTTGCTCTTGAAAGTATTCTTTTACCATCTAACCACGTTGCAGAAAATACAGAGCCAAACCCCCCTTTACCAATCATTTGAATATTAATTAAACTATTAAAAGGAATCCATACGGTTACATCTACGTATTTTGTAGCTTTAAGTTAAAATTCCTTAATGCTATTGTTGACATCCTTATTTCCGCTTGTCCATCCTTGTGTTGTTTTCTGAGGGTCGCATGTTTGACACCAAGCTAGAAAAGTGTTATATCGCTTGCAATTTGCACATTTACCATTATTTAATCTCTTTTAGACCAAATTCATCAAATACTAACATATACTCATTTGTTGCATTGTTTTAAGTTAGTCCACATACCTTAAGAATATTATTCTTTAACTATACATTATCTACAAACTTATTAAACATTAAACAGTATATTAAAAGCTATATATCGTGTAACAATGATTAAATATTTCAACTTACTTCATTTAACATATCTAATAAACTTTGCGATCTAGTCAATATTTGAAGCTCCACTTTACATGATGGTATACGTTTGTTATATCCAACTTCATTTACATATCGTATCCCATCTAACCAGGTTGCTAAACATTTATCGCCAATAATTTGAATAGTTTTTAATCTATTAAAAGGAACCCATTCGGTTACATCTTCATAAGAAGTAGCTTTAAGTTGAAATTCTTTAATATCTTTATTCCTACTTGTCTATCCTTGTGTTGTCTTCTGAGGGTCGCATGTTTGGCACCAGGCTGGTGATATGTTATATTGCTTGCAATTTGCACATTTTCCATTCCAATTATATCTTTTACAATCAAATTCATCAAATACCAGCATATATTCATTTGTGATTGTATTTTGAGTTAATCCATAGACACGTATATGCGGTTTATGCTCTAACCGACTATCTAATTGCACATGATTTTTAAACTTATAAAATACGTATATAAACAATATAAGTATAATCATAAGTATAAATTAAGTATATTAATTAAATAAACTACGTATAATAATAAAATGATATAAACTCACTTATTTTAAAATATTTTGAATATCTGCTGTTTCTGTCAATATTTTAAGTGTAATTATGCTTGCCGGTGTTGTGACTGTATATATTCATATTTAAAATTTAGATATCTAACCACGTTGCTAAAAATCCATCACCATTCTTGTGAATATTACTTACACATTTTGCAAACTCCAATTAATTAATTAATTGCCTTCACCTGCACAATACCACTTTGACATACTTAATATTGTGAGTTATCACGGTCACATTTGTCACGTGATCATTCGTCGCATGTAGGTCCCGGAAATTCTATGGACAGAGTTTAGGGACAGAATATGGGCACGTGACAGAATATGGTCACGTGATATACCGGATAGCTCAAATCACGTGATAAAACTTAACGGTAATTAGATTGTAGATCTTTTAGTAATCTAGCGTTTTAGCGTTAATTTTTTTGCTCAATAAACTTGCAAGATAAAAATGGTTATTTTATTCAATTAAACCAATGTTTGGGGCGTATTATCAAATTTGTCTATCTATATGAAAGTTAATTTATTGGAATTAATTTATTATTATTATTTTTTGATCTACTTCGTTAGATGAACTACTTATTGTAAGAAAGCAATCAATACGATTTTGAATTAGTAGCTTCCATCTTATCGCGGTCGAGGTAGCAAACTGTGTCCATCGATTTACAATTGGTGGTACAGGGGCACCAGGCTTCAATGTAATAGCCACATAATGATTATTATTAACGAAGGCTATTGCAAATGTTTCATTTCGATTTAATAGATAGTGATGTGGAAGAAAGGTAAGATTAATTTGTAGTGAAAAAAAGTACAGTGACCTTTGGTAGGCATTTGCTATAACATCCTCCATCTGTGGCATTCTCATCCAATGTTCGAATGTACAAGGGTCATTTGCCCAAAAGATCTCTTTCATAATTGTCTCATAATCATCATTGGTTAGAAACAAGGTACAATAGAATTGTTCTTTTTTAATTAATTATTTTTGTAATTCCTTTCGAATCTCTGACCACTCATTTTCATCTCTTTGTAAACATATAGCTAGTGCTCTATACCCACAATTACCATCTCCATTCACATTAATTACCTTTTTTATGTGTTCATGCATATAGGTAGGTATTTGGTCATGATATAAAAGCTGTTGCGATTTTGGTAAATCAGTTGTAAATTTTGGTGTATTTTTCTCTTTTTTTTTAGCAGTTTTATCTTGTAGCTTACTACGAAGAAGATTTCATTTAGTGAAAGCTGGTCGTCTTATATTTTCAGTATGTACTGATGCTTTTGGAATTACAATTTCTTTAGCAATAAGTGCTTCGATTTTATATAACAATAAAGCTTTAGACCTACTATCATTTAAATTTGCATATTTTCTTCAAGCATATACAAAGCCTTATTAAAAGCTGTATCAGTTGACAAAGATGAAGGTAATAAAGGTACAGAATCATGTTTTAGAAGCCAGCAGAGGTGGATAATTAAAAGTGGGATGGGCCCTGTTGATGGAATTATATGATGACATGGTAGTTTGAAATTTAGTCTTAAGCTATAGTTGCAAATGCTATTATTTGTATTATCATAATTTTCTTGAGCCTCACATATTTCTTTTTTTATTCGATCAATTGCCCATCTAGAAATTTTTCTGACCAACTGTTCAAATTTCATATTATTAAGTATAAATGGATTAGCTGAAATTATATTCAGACCTAAAGTTCTGTTTTTTTGTAGTTGATATTGATGAAAGACATGATCGATATATGAAAATACCTGATCTAGCCCGCTTGCTGTCTCAATTGCTTTTTTTAAACTGCTATGGCTTCCTTCTGCTCGTTGCATTGATTGGACTCCCATATGAGGATAATGTTTTGTATAAACATGCATCCAACATTCTGAATCCTTTTTCTATTCCTCAAAGTAATTTTGAATATAATTAGGGTCTCTACTCTTCATCACTGCTTGCTTTACCTCTTCAAATGCTTCTTCGACTATACTCATCTCCTTGACATAAGCAATTTTTTGAATTGATAGCAATAATTTTTTATAATCATCATCAGAATCAAAAAACTTTTTGCATGCAGTATGTAAGTTTTGGACAAGCATGTGCCGGATACAGAGCATTTTTTTTGTATTTGGAAAAACTTTATTTGCTGCATTTCGAAGAGCTTGGAATTATCTAAAACAAATACTTCCAGAGAACAAAAAAAAGCATCATAGACTGTTTCTTTTAACGTATTTAAAAACTATTCGTAGGTATATTCCTTTTCATTTTCTACCTATGCCATTGCGATTTGGTATGTATTAAGGGATTTTGCTTTGCCAATATTATTAACACCAACAGAATTTATTAAAGGAAGCTTGTACAAATTTGTTTTATAAGTTGCATCAACGATTAGCACCTTCAGACATATAGCAGCATGACACGCAGCTTCAATATGGGTAAAAAATAGGTTTTCATACAACCATCTTTTGATAATAGATGGTGAACTATGTACTGGCATTCTTCTAACATCTGCAAAAGCCACATAGTTGTATCATTATTTGAGCCTTCATTCAGAGCATTTCTAATTCTATCATGTTCATTAACAATATCTTTCATATACATAGTATCATGCTTCCATTGTACCACATCAGCAACTGACTAAATTGGTGCTCCACTTTTGAGAATCATATGAACTAGCTCCTTTTGTTCTGTATTAAGCTATCAATGTTAAGGGAGGCAGTGAACTTGTGATAGAAGAAAGAGTTCATGAGAATGCTGATTTTTATAAGATCGTACTATCCAAACACCGGCTTTCTCATTCAAAACAGCATACAAAGCAACAGGACAGCCTTGACGCTTTGTAAATTTAATATTTTTCCTGGTTTCTTCAGTAATATTATAATTATTTCTATACTCACCCCCCATTGTACATTGTAAAATAATATAGGAAGCTTGGCCACCTTTTTCATCATGTGACATTTTTGATGATGACACAAACCTGCTGCTTTAGCAACTTGTTGAGCAGTTTTCTTGAAACTTTCTATTGTTTGGAATTTGCTACCAATTTCTGGAACTTGTGGTTGTGATGGCAACATGATTATAGGTAGTTTATTTTATTTATTAATTTTTTTCTTCACTAAATTTAATCATTTTATTTGAATTAATTAAAATTTTAAGTACTTAGTATGATCAGTCTTGTTTTTCGACAAAATGTTTATTCCAAATGAAAATAATAAGTATTTTTAAAAAATGAGATTTGTCTTTATATACGATTACCACTAATTTATTAATACTGAATTTATTTTTAGTGAGAAATTATGACAGCGTGATTTTGAACAATATATTTTGTTTTTTTTTATAATTAGCTTGGCTGTAAAGAAAAAACTGATAAGATGCTAATTAACTTTCCTTTACTGAATGTTAGAAACAGTATTTTCCTTTGCATCAATTCTTAAACATATGTAGCAAATAGGATATAAGCTTTTCTTAAATAGTATTATTAAGATTTGCTACGTTTTGCAACTGCATTACGATCACTATACTATTTCTCTTTTTGGTTATATTTATCTTTCTACATGGGAAGCATTTATATGCAAGTTTCAGAATTATCAATTAATAATCTTTAGTTTCCAGCATTGATTATGATTCTTACAAATTTTTATTATAGGATGAAACAATTTTGATCATAATTTATTATAAGAAACAATTTAAACAATTTTAACATTGATCTAATCATATTGAGAATTAGTACAATTATCAAGGTTCAAAGTAATAATTTAATTAATAATTGTATAATTTGGCTGCCGCAAAGGGAAAGCCTGTAATTTTTTTTAATGAACAATTGCAGATTTTACCTTTGCGGCACTTATTTAACAGATTTTTATTAGCTTTACAGTATACAAATTTAACATTCTAATATCATTTCTTATATACTATAAATCTTGAATGTTTATTAAATAAATTGCTTGAAACTTTTTAAAGTGAATATATTTATGAGTGGTTAGAAGTATATAGTTTAGGGTATTTTATTATTAAAATAATTTTTTTGTAGTTGTGTTACATGATTTGAGCTATCCGGTATATCACGTAACCATATTCTGTCTTTAAACTCTGTCCGTAGAATTTCTGTGTAGGTTCCAAGTAATTGGTCACATGAAAAGTAAGAGAAATCTTACTTTTTTTACTTTTATTACTTCAGATAGATTAACTGCATATAGAAAATTTGGTTTTTCTTTTGATAGTAGGAATAAGGGTCTTAAGAATGATATAATGTAAATAGACAATATAGAGAAAATTAATCTTAAATGTAAATAAAATTTTTATTATAAATCAAGAGTATTCTATTTAAAAAAAAAATAACAAGTGATACTTCCAAGTAAATATATTTGCAATATATAAAACTCAGTATCCAACCTATAATAAGAGTAAAATTATAACTAATAAATTATTGTTAAACCTATCATTATCTTTAACATTTGTCTATTTGCAATTTATTAAATTGTATTTTAATTATTTATTATATATTATATGATTAAGTCATTAATGTAAGAGAAAAACTTTGATTCCAATTTAATGTATTGTAGTTCTAGATTAAAGAAGTAAAGACAAGACAAGACAAGAATTAATAAAAAAATAGTTTGAAAAAAAAACTAAGAAGAGAAAATTGGTACTTATTTTTTTTTTTTTTCCTTAACAGTCATGCTAGTACTTTATTAAGATTCTTAAAATTACTTTTGCAATTACATAGATTTACCTAACACCTAAGTCTAGCATTACCTGGCCACCTCTAGGGTACCTAAGTGCAACCTGTCACACTACTTCTAACAGAAGTAGGCCACTTGTCTAACTACTTAAAGTCCATAGTGAAAGGGTCTCTTTCCTTTCACGACAAGTCTCAACATTGTCTTTCTAACTTCTTTATTAATTCTATTTCTCTTCTTTTTTGCTTGTTTCTTTTCTTCTTCCATCTTCTGCTGATTTGTTTCTCTTTTCTTTTTTGGATTCTTTCTCTTTACTTTCTTTTTTTTTATTTTGGTTGTTATGCCTTCTTTCTTTTCCTATTCATTGGCCTTTTCACACCATATTCTCCAAACTTATTCATAAAATGTGTCCTATGTTGTTTTTGCTACTGTCTCTATAAACTGCTGTCTTGTCTTTGTATTTAGGAGCTGCATTAGTCTTTCTTGTGTTTTTTTCTGGATCAGGCCTTTGATTAATGCTTCTCTTATCTCTATTTCTTTTGCTTTACTTTTCTCAAAGAGTGCTGTATATAATACATATGGTGGGATGTGAGTTTTTTCTTCTTCCTTTAACCCTTTCCAAGCTGTTGCAATAGTTACTTTTTGAATTCGTTTCCACAGGCTTCATTGTCCTTTGCATAATGCTAGATGTGCCTGTGTTTCTTTGACTTTATCTTGACATACTTGGCACTCTGTTGTTGTGTATATGTCTGGTCTTCTTCTATTAAGTTCTTCTAAGGTTGAAAGTTTATCTATTGTACACTTTATAAATGCACATCTTCTTGTACTACCTCTTCTTGTTGTGCAACACACTCCTTTAGTTATTTTTAGCCTTTTCCAAAATTGTGTCCAATCGTGAGTTATGACTTTTGCTTTTGGTTCTAACTTTCTGATTGCATTTGTTTCTTTCTATTCTGCTCCTAATCTTGTATTTGTTATTAATTTGCAT